GCTGGATCCGGACCCGCAATCCTGAAATTTTGGATTTCCAAGTTTTCATTATTGCCACTGTTTGCGGCCATTATTTACGTGATTTTTTTTTAACTTGGAAATAAATTTGTAAATAATTTAAACTAATTGGGAAATTCAGCGAAAGTCACCCATGAAATATAAGTAATTTTTTGTACGGAAAGTAAGGACCTACGTGCATCAAATTTTCTTTAAATTAAGTGGCGACAGAAGAATTATCGTTAACCTTTTAAATGATACGCTTTAATATTAATGCAATACCTAAATACAGCGATTAATTTTGAGTTCTTTTGTAGTTTATTTTTGCCTATCGCATACGGCAGCAGTTTGACTGGCAAAAAGAAATCTCCACCAACAGAGGACCAGATTGCAATCAAAAGATCCAAGCCTGCAGCGAGGGAAATAAAGTCCCTTGCAAATGAAAACCCAAATCAAACGGCAGCCAGGAGAGCTTCCAATGTTGAGAATATGCAAAGATTTAGGGACTCTCAAATTCCTGAACAAACCGAAGGCTTATTCAAAAGCCCTTCGCAGGAGCTAGCTTAAATGCCGACTAATAGGGCGGATTTTAAGCTAGTAATCAATAAAGATGACTCAAATCTCGCTTATGCTATAAATTTGATAAAACCGTTTACCACATAGTATCAGGGTGCCTAGTCTTTGCTGAGAAAGAATACATTATTAGTCATGACAGGCAAGGACAATATATTTATTGGCTTGTTTATTCGAATGATGTTATTAAAGTCCCGGATACATGGTACAAGTACCACTTGAACGATATCACAAATCGTAATGGAATGACTATAATGTGAAATTTCCCTAAACCTCACAGACAGGTAAATTTATGCAAATAAATCAGACATAACCATAAAATATTTTAAAACAGGAACCTAACAATTAATTGATATGACTTGCCTACAGGATTGCAATGTTTTTAGAAAAGAATTTCAAAAACTGTCAAATTATAAGTACATGTAAATCGAAGTAAGGAAACTATGGAAAGTTAAAACAGCGATTAACCTTGTTGCGGCAGGGTCATTGTGTAGAAGGGTACCAAAAATTCCATGGGTAAAATTCCTGGGCACATCAATCTATCAGAGAGCCACAAAAGATTACTTTGTGTAGAACAGCAGATATCATCTGCAAAACTCCACATGTAAAAGAAACATCCCAAATTTGCAGAGATATCTCTCTTACAGTGCCCTTTTGTACTTATACACCTCGGAGAAGACTTGGTAATTAGGCACTTAAAATTACACTCTGGCAAGATAATAACACACACACAATAATAATAATAATAATAATAATAATAATAACAACAACTTAACGATGCTGTTAAAATGATCGACATATTTTGTTCAGTCCTTATTACACAAACGGGAAATATTATTGAACATTAGGGTAGATCGATGTTGGGACCGTGGTATTGCGTTCAATTTGAAAGTTGGTGGTTTGACATAATAAATAATAACACAAAATATATTTTTCAAATCGTTACAATTTTTTGAGGAAACCAGTTTGAAGATTAAGTTTAGGTTCAAAATCGTAGCGTTGCAATTTCATTGAAAGCCTTCTAAAATTTCTAATTTACTGAAGCTTTACAAATTGTATATGGACAAGCTGCATGGCACAAGCACATTTGTTACTAAATCATTGTGCCATCAAATAAGACCTTCATTTACTTCAAAGGGAAATTATATTGAACAATTTAGCTCTATTATGATGTAATATGTTATATAGTGCAGTAGTTTTAGTACGATTTTCAATAAACAATGCAAATTTAAAACATTTTGTCTTATAATTTGTTCCCAATGTGTTATGATGTTCTATACACTTTTATTTTTCGTTTTTATTAATTACTAGCAGTAGAGCCCAGCATTGCCCGGAGATGTAACAGTAAGAGATAGATCAAGTATCGACCATCATAAAGACTGAAAAATAAAATTGACAAAGATTATTGTTTAAGGTTGAAGGACACGCATGTCTTAATTAGTTTTTTTTTTTTTTTTTTTTAACGAATTGGTCATTGTTTTCAATCGTTATGAGTCTACCGATTGAATAGAATTTTATTATAAACAATTGTCTTGTAAATGGAATTTTTAAAGCATTCTGAATGTAAAAATAAAGAAAAAAGTGTGCAAGACAATAAGAAACACTACCTACCAAAAAAAAGTGAAGTTTTGTTGAAATCGGTTGAAAAATATAGGAAATCAGATCCCATATATAAACGAACACACACACACACACACACACACACACACACACACACACACAAACAAACAACCTGAGTTTTATAATAAGTATAACTCGATATGAGTTGCCCCCCTTTCATTTTGGCGACAGAATCGTATTTTTAAATTGATTTCGTGCAAAAACAATTGTGTTTTTCCAATTTTTGGCGCTGTCAGAACCACCGCAAGGTAATTTTACGTAGTTCTGTGAAGTTTTGTTGAAATCGGTTGAAAAATGTAGGAAATCCGATCCAATATATAAACGTACAGACACACACACACATACAATCTGCGTTTTATAATAAGTAAGATGATCTAAAAATGATCTAAAAAATCTTATTCATTGAGCAGCCATTTTTGTAATATTTTACAAATTTTTACACAGTTTTTCCTTATCCAATACAGGAGTAAAAAAATTCATATTTTGCTTGCGGTGATTCATAATTAGAATTCTAGTTTGAATATATTTTCCATTAAGTGTATTTAGTACAAAAGATATCAACGTTATTTGGAGTTATTCTTGAAATAGTAAAATTTTGAAGTCAGTCTGTAAACAAAATCCTGTGGAAATTAGGTATTTCTGTGAAAAATCAACCCGTCCTATTGAACATGGGCTTTGATTTACCCAAAATTAAACTCGAGGCTAATATAGCTGGATTACGGTAAATGATCCGAATCCAATCAAGAGGTTCTAAAGTAAGCGATTTATCAACAATAATAAGATTTCCTATTGATACACTGTATATTCTACTTGGGGATTAACTCTCGCATGCATACGATCGCACTTCTTCTATATGCCACGACCCCTCACAAGGTGGGGGATCATGGCTCTCCACAACTTCCTATCCCTGGTGCTCCTTAACAGCGTCACTCCATTTGCCAAACTACTCGCACCTGTGCCGCCATCCATTCACACAAAGTCGCGCGCTGCCTTCCCCATATCTCTCTTGCCCTCGACATCCCTGTGAGTGTTAAGTTTTCCAAGCACTCCTTCCCCATTATATGTCCGGGGTATTTCTACTGTAACTTTCCGATTTTGAGTTTAAGTTTAACAGGAGCAGATAGGTGTTATGAATAATCAAGAGTGGTCTCCCCTTGTTTTGTTACTCTCCTCTTTGAAAGAGCTATTTCTATTTACTGGGACTAAAAAAGGACACTATACGCGAACCTTGTATTCTCAGTTGAATAAAGCTTTCTTAAAGCCTACAACTGCCTACTTTTGTCATTACAATAGATTCGCCTACCACCCGGTTCACACGCCTCCTCGGGCGTTTGAATAGGAGTCGAGGTTTATTACATGTTTCCTGTTTCAGAAAGGTTGACATACCGTTGTGGGGGAGATTCAGTGTGGCTTCTGCATTCGATCCCCCCCCCCAAAAAAAAAGTCATGGGGATGATGATGATGATGATTAGGATAAGGTTTTCGGTTCCTACTAATGACTTTTCATTCTCTTTCACTCACTGCGTTTTAGTGGGTTTATAGCCTTGCTTGGGGTAAATTGAGAAAAAAGTGTCCTTTCTGTTCACATTTTCTTTAAGTTATCTTCGTTACTTACTCGTTTCGTCCACGGAATTCTCAGTATCCTTCTGCAGAACCATATTTCTGTTGCCTTCAGTTTCGTCTTCATTTGTGGGGAGATTGTCCAGCATCCACTGCCATACAAGAGGATTTATATCACATAGCAATTCGACATTCTTTTCTTTGTTTCTAACAAAATTTTCCTTTTTCTTAATACTTCGCTTAGCTTTTGGAAGGCATCTTTCACTATTCCAATGCGACTTTGGTTTTCGGTGTCGCATTATCTGTCGCCTGTTAAAACACTTTCCAAATTGTTGGATTTTTGTACTTGCTTGATTTTGAAATCTCCAATTTGTAGCTTACATCTTGAGCTGTTCCTTCGTGCAGACAACCATACTGTTTTCTTATAATTGATAGTTAGTCCTTTCTTACCGCTTTCCTTTATTACCTTATCTCGGAGCTAGATTGATGGGAAGACGCATCTTTATCTTACGCCCCTTTTTTATTTTTGTGTAAATTCATGTTCTTTTCGTATGCAGGTGGTTTGCTTCCAGTATATACTCTAGATCAAGGATTCTCAGAAGGGGTGAAATTCACCCCAGGGGGTGAATTTTGGATTTTTAGAGGTGAATTGTGAATTTCGCCTATCTGGCTTGTCACCTTGAAAGGGAGAGGGGAATGGCATTTTGACAAATAGGGAAAGTGGTACATGCGGCAAGCAAGTTTGAGAACCCCTGTTCTAGCTTATTCTCTCTTTTACAAAATAGATCAAGCTTCCCTAACAGTTCAAATAGATCTTTTGGTATCCTTACAATGGTACCCTTCTCTTTCGTTTACTATCTTAACTAGGATTTTCTATACTTTTGTTTTTGCGTCTGTCATCAACACGGTATTATCTCCGTATCTTATGTTGTTAATATTATGACCACCAATAATAAATCCTGGTAGGACATGTAGTTCACTTACGATTGCCTTGCAGTATAGATCAAATAAATTTGGTGTGAAAATGCATCTTTATCATACGCTCTTTTTTATTTTTGTGTAAATTCATTTTCTATCCGTATACAGGCGGATTAGTGGTTAATACTTTGCTTAGCTTATGGAATGCGAGCACACAGATTATGAAAACATGCTACTGTTCATCATTCAACGCCTCTTGTGCTTGTTAATGTAATATAGCAAGCGATATAGGTGGGCGAACTGAACGAGTCAGATGTCGCCCCATCATGTCAATGGGAAGTGGTGTGATATTCGAACCGGTGAAGGAAACGTTCGAAGATCTTGCGCATCATGTTGGGCAGCAAGAGTCTCATGTGGGTCGCCAATATCATCTTGGGATATTTCATCGCTTTTGTGAACGGCAGCAAGACAGGTTGACTCTTCTTTGTGCCTTGTCCCTTCAGGATCTGAGCGGTCATGTCTCACGACAATTTCCAGTCCTTTGTAGCTCTTAGCAAATTCTATCTCTTCGCTATCTATCCCAATCCCCGCTTTCCCAATCATTCACAGAAGTTCTACTGTTCCTCTTGTCTTCAATATTTCTTGTTAGTGTCAGTATGTCAATATCTGGTCGTGAAAGATTAAAAGTAGGCATGCCACTTGGGGATTGACATTCTCTTTATCGTTTTTTTTCTTTCTGGTATGGCCAAAGATTGGACGAAATCATTCACTTTAATGGAGGCCATTAAACGTAACTTCATTTCTTTACATAATCAAAAGGAAGAAACAGAAACAAGCAAATAAACGATAAAAGAAAGAAAAAGAAAGGCGAAATAGAGAAGTGGCTTAAGGAAAAGAATAAACAAAAATGGAAGGAAAAAGAAAAAAAAAGAATGAAAGGCTACACTTATCTCTCCAAACAAATGCGTCCCTTTATATAGTGAAACAACTATTTTGTCGGAAGCTTCACTTCAGAATATACGCCATATTGTTCTTTGATGAGGTCAATAAAAAACATTTCAAAGTATTAATGAATACAAATTGCCTATTGTTGCATTCTCTCGATATGTTTCTTTTTTCTTTCTAGCTTGACGTCTCTTTCTTTCTTTCTTCCTTTCTTTCTTCCTTTCTTTCTTTTATAGTTTATTTCCCTCTTTCTTTCGTTCCTTTTCTTTCTTATTTTTTCGCTTTTTCTTTCCTTTTTGTTTTTTTCTTACACTCACTTTCTACCTTACCCTTTTTTCTTTATTTCTTTTACGGTTTGCTTGTTTCTGTTTCTTTCTTTCTTTTGTATTTCCTTTTTATTTCTTTCACTCACTTCTCGACCTTTCTTTCTTTCTTTTCCTTTCTTCCTTTTTTTTACCGTTTGTTTCAGTTTCTTTCTTTCTTTAGTATTTTCTGTTTTTGTTTTTTCTTTCATTCACTCAAGTCTCGACTTTGTCATTTCTTTCTTTCTTTCTTTCTTTCTTTCTTTTACAGTTTATTTACCTCTTTCTTTCGTCCTTTTTCTTTTCGTTCCTTTCTTTCATTCACTTTTCTACGTAGCCGTTCCTTTCTTTCTTTCTTTCTTTCTTTCTTTCTTTCTTTTTTACAGTTTATTTCTCTCTTTCTTTGGTATCTTTTCTTTTTTTTCTCTACACTTTCCTTTTTCTTCTTTTTTCTTTCTTTCTTTTTTCTTTCTTTTACAGTTTGTTTCCCTCTTTTTGTTCTTTTTCTTTCTTATTTTTCTTTCCTTTTTGTTCCTTTCTTTCATTCACTTTTCTACCTAGCCGTTTCTTTCTTTCTTTCTTTCTTTTTTTCTTTCTTTTACTTTTGTATGCATTTTGCGTCTCGTTACCCACCAAGTTGTGTTTCTTTGCTTCATTCTTATCTTCAGGGACTAGATAAGCATCGACATATCTGCGAAGCGTAAACAAAAATGATGAAATGGTTCGAAAACGATAGACAAACGTACACGCCAATACATATCTGTTTGTCCGCATGAACATGCGTGTGCGCTTGTGTTAGCAGCTCTTTACTATTTCGTAAAAACTAACCAAGTAAATGTCGACAAAACAAGTCCCTGCTCGCATCCACCGAGATGGCACTCGAGAAAACACCTGTGGTTAAAACAACGCACGATATCATATCAAGAAAATGCTATCGTTGTTGAACAGCTGTTTTCATAGATCGGTAGAACCGACTTACAAATGTGTCGGCTCCTCAAGTTTTGCGATTAGATATGATGTCCCCAGGTGAAAACATTGAATCTCTGCCGATGTGTCGAATATTAACTTTAGTTAGAAGCTACATTTATCTCTCCAACCAAACACGTCCCTTTCGACAGTGAAACAACAACTTTGTAGGAAGCTCCACTTCAGAATATACGCCATATTGTTTTTGATGAGGTCAATAAAAATCATTTCAAAGTATTAATGAATACAAATTGCATATTGCTACATTCTCCCGATATGTTTCTATTTTTTTCTAGCTTGACATTTCTTTCTTTCTTTCTTTCTTTCTTTCTTTCTTTCTTTCTTCATTTAACTTAGAGTTTCTTTTCCTTTCTCTGTTTCTTTTTTTCCCTTTTTCTTTCTTTTTTAGCTTCTTTCTTTCAGTTATTTTTCTAATCTGACATTTCTTTCTTTTTTCTTTCTTTTTTTTTTCTTTAACCCACTTCTCGAACTTGCCGTTTTCTTTCTTTCTTTCTTTCTTTCTTTCTTTCTTTCTTTCTTTCTTTCTTTCTTTACTTGACTTCTTTCTTTCTTTTATCGTTTGTTCCTTATTCCGTTTTCTTCCTTTGTTTTCCATTTGTTTTATTGTTCTTTCTTTTTTCACTTCTCGACTTTCTTCTTTCTTTCTTTCTTTTAAAGTTTGTTCAACTCTTTCTTTCGTCTCTTTTCTTTATTATTATTTTCTTTGGCTTTCCTTTTTGTTGCCCTTTCTTTCCTTAACACACTCCTCTACCTTACCTTTTTCTTTCTTTCTTTCTTTCTTTCTTTCTTTCTTTCTTTCTTTCTTTCTTTCTTTCTTTCTTAGTATGTTGACATTTTATAGTCGGTGTGGCAAGCCAAGTAATTTTCCTTTATGTCCTCTCTCCATGAGGAATGCTGACATGGTATCAGAATCAAGGAAATACCACTGACCTGACCTATTAATTTCTCAACCAATGGGAAGACGACAAAAAATATTAAATTTTGGTTTTTAGTTTGGAGCCTATCACTAGCCTATATAAGAACGGGCCGAAAAACTATAGTGGGTACTCGCAGCAAGCACACATAAGAGTAGCTATAGCAAGCGCACACAGGTGTACACACGGCGTATTCACTTACTCACACCACAGCAAAGAAAGACTTCTCATTCGAAATCTCGCGTCATATAGCGAGATCGACCCGAGAAAAAATGCTTGCTCGAACACCAACAACGTTGACAGTAGTAAAAAAATTCCGAAGTGAATTGCTTCTATCCAAAAATGCACGCACGTGTATGTGTGTGTGCGCGCGCACGCACACACACACACACACACACACACACACACACACACACACACACACACACACACACACAAACAGAATCTCTGACTGAAAGTAAATCGGTTGGGTTTCGATCCTGTCTTGAAGCAATCGATGTCTAGCTACACTGATGAGCTGTGATACAGCGAAACAGTCTGTCTGTGGATGACTATATATATATATATATCATATATCACACACACATTCACGCATTCAGGTCTTTTCACTTCTTTCTACGCAATACAAACGTAATAGTCCATTATTTATGATGTATTGGCAGGGCGTAACGGTCGTGTGAACTAACCAAAAGAGAAACAAGCACAATTATAATATTGATTCCCTTATGGACTTCGTTAATTGGTTTACGGCCGTATAACATTGAAAACCTGGTTCCCGTACAATCACCGAAGTTAAGCTACATCGAGCCTGGTCAGTACCTGGATAAGTGACCGCTTGGGAATACCAGGTGCTGTAAGCTTGGATGTGCGGGTGGCGTAATGGATAACGAATCGGAATTGTTATCCGGATAGCTGAGTTCCAGTTCCATTTGCTTTCGTTATATTCACTTACGCGCAAATAACTATGGGAAAGGAATGAATCCACCTCTTCCCCTCTAGCTATGGGCTAATTAGTAAGACTTATATCATTAAAATTATTATTATCTCAAAAAATTAAAATAAAATAAAATGAACTTGCTTACAAAATATTTAGATTTCAGCATTAAATAACCCATAGAGATGTTGATATACCGTTAAACAAAAACAACCAACCAACTAATCACGCATCCGTACATACAAGGACATTTGTTTCCTCGAACTTTATTTCTCTCGGCTCTTTACGAATTCTCTTTGACCCTTCAGGGAACACCTTTTTTTCTTTCTCACTTAATTGTTACCATCGCCGTTATTAAATTGTATTCAAATTTACTCGGTGATATTGTTTTATTCTTCGTTTGTAGCATGCGAAGAATCGTTTGCTCTTTTCTTCGCTCGTTTACAGCCGGAGGTATCATCATTTCCTGTTTTCTTCTAAAGGGATTGGTAGTAAATACCTTTATTCAACTGTCAAAGAAAGGTCAACAACAATACGCAGCACCGCTATGCAATACCTTTTGACCATTATGGTCCCTGCTCCTCCTCTGGTGTAAAATAATTCGAGGGAAACATGCAATGAAATGAGTGGTGCTATAAACACTGAAGAAAGTATAGCGCTACCATAGCGACTTTTAATAAGCATACTAGAAATACCCGTGAAATTTTCACGGCTTTTTATTTGAATTTTCTGATGAGTCTTAATTCTTCACTTAATGATTGAGTAAGCTCATAGTAAATTTTATGATAATATCCGTAGAAATTCCTCTATCATATCATTAAATATTTGAGCTTAACAACTTTAACAAAATATTGCAATATAACAATAATAAATATGAATGCTTGTCGCTATTTTAAGAAGTACGATAAAACGATTTGAAACTGGTAATATTTCTATTTCACTGAAGCAGACGTAAAGCACTTCTATCTTTACTTCTTTCTTTTTTTCTTTCTTTCTTTTACATCTTTTTTTTTACTTTCGTCTGCATCTTTGTTTATTTTCTTTCCTTTTTTTCTTTCAGTCTTTCTTTCTTTTTCCAATTTCTTTCTTTTTGTTTCGGTGGTCATTGAAACAGACGTTAAAGACATTATAAGCTTATGGCGAGTTCTACGACCATAATATATCCGTAGAATTTAAATATTTGAGCTTAACAACTTTAACAATATATTGCAATAACAGTCATCAGTATGAATGCTGGTCGTTATTTTAAGAAGTGGGTACAAATGAAAAGATTTGAAATTGAAAACTTTTTCCCATTTCACTGAAACAGCCGTTAAACACTTCCATCTTTTTTTCTTTCTTTCTTTCTTTCTTTCTTTCTTTCTTTCTTTCTTTCACTGAAACCAAGTAGCGTCTTCTCTCCTCTTTCCACGCGATCAAAACGGAATAGTTCTATATTTATTAGGTATTGGCAGAGAGTTAAACATCTTTACCTTCTTTCTTTCTTTCTTTCTTTCCTTCTTTCTTTCTTTCTTTCTTTCTTTCTTTCACTGAAACCAAGTAGCGTCTTCTCTCCTCTTTCCACGCGATCAAAACGGAATAGTTCTTTATTTATTAGGTATTGGCAGGAGAGTTAAACATCTTTACCTTCTTTCTTTCTTTCTTTTCTTTCTTTCTTTCTTTCTTTCTTTCTTTCTTTCTTTCACTGAAACCAAGTAGCGTCTTCTCTCCTTTTCCACGCGATCAAAACGGAATAGTTCTTTATTTATTAGGTATTGGCAGGAGAGTTAAACATCTTTACCTTCTTTCTTTCTTTCTTTCACTGAAACCAAGTAGCGTCTTCTCTCCTCTTTCCACGCGATCAAAACGGAATAGTTCTTTATTTATTAGGTATTGGCAGGAGAGTTAAACATCTTTACCTTCTTTTTTCTTTCTTTCTTTCTTTCTTTCACTGAAACCAAGTAGCGTTTCAAAACGGAATAGTTCTTTATTTATTAGGTATTGGCTTTCTTTTACCTTCTTTCTTTCTTTCTTTCACTGAAACCAAGTAGCGTCTTCTCTCCTTTTCCACGCGATCAAAACGGAATAGTTCTTTATTTATTAGGTATTGGCAGGAGAGTTAAACATCTTTACCTTCTTTCTTTCTTTCTTTCTTTCTTTCTTTCTTTCTTTCTTTCTTTCACTGAAACCAAGTAGCGTCTTCTCTCCTCTTTCCACGCGATCAAAACGGAATAGTTCTTTATTTATTAGGTATTGGCAGGAGAGTTAAACATCTTTACCTTCTTTCTTTCTTTCTTTCTTTCTTTCTTTCTTTCTTTCACTGAAACCAAGTAGCGTCTTCTCCCTTTTCCACGCGATCAAAACGGAATAGTTCTTTATTTATTAGGTATTGTCAGGAGAGTTAAACATTTTTACCTTCTCTTCTCTTCTCTTCTTTCTTTCTTTCTTTCTTTCTTTCTTTCTTTCTTTCTTTCTTTCTCTGAAACCAAGTAGCGTCTTTTCCCTTCTTTCCACTCGATCAAAACGGAATAGTCCATTATTTATGTGGTACTGGCAAGTCGTAACGGTTGTGTGAACTAACAAAGAGAAGGACAAGCGCAATTATAATATAGATTCCCTTATGGACTTCGTTAATTGGTTTATGGCCATATCACATTGAAACACTGGTTTCTGTACGATTACTGAAGTTAAGTAACGTCAAGCCTAGTCTGTACCTAGATGGGTGACCGTCTGAGAATACCAGGTGCCGGATTTTAGTGGGTTTTGTAATAAATAATGACTCGGAATTGTTAATCGGAGAGCTGAGTTCTAATTCCAGCTCCGTTTGTTATATTCACCTATTTGCAAATACCCTTGTGAAAGGTATGAATCCACATCCTCTCCCCTAGTTATGGGTTAATCAGTAAAACGTGTATCACCAAATCATTATTATTTCCAAAATTAAAATAGAATTGTGTACAGCGTATTAAGATTTCGGCAGTAAATGACCCATAGAGGTTGACTAATATGAGTTCACCCAGAACGCAACATTAACTTTTCCTGCCTGAAAACGGACTTCGCGCCAAAAGACGCTGAAGCCATTTTCTTTCGTTACTGACCATTGGAAGGTCAATACGTGCATTTCCTCTCCTCGGGACATTGCTTGTTATAATACGAAGTGACTTCTTCCTTTTATTACATGTAACCTTAAAACACTTGTAACTAAAATACACACACAAAAGTACACAAATATAAATAAAATTGCATGATTTTAATTTACAATTTAACATTTTATCTCTTATGTATTGTCTTTGTATGTATTTCCTGTGAACACAAGGCTATTCCTGCTGGTATGATGTGAGTGACCCCACAAATTCAAGCGATCATAACTTGAGAAATACTTTAGGACAAAATTAGAGCAGTTCCGAAATCTTGAGACTGTCTACTTTCAGACTAAAATGCCTAAAACATCCTTATGTAAACAGGACCATCACAGTTTTCCACCAACCGGCCAATTACTACCGACGTTACGTCTCTATTTTTTTTCTTGCTGGTGTCTTGCCAAAAACTGGGAAAAGCCTGTTATAGGCTCACAGGGAAGAGAAAGATGAAAACAAACGTCACGACGAGAAATAAGGACTCGAACACTGTTTTTAATATATACAGGTGTTTATTCAGGGCTTCACTTTCTCGGTCTGAGTGGATAAGCAGGAGACACTTGGACAACATCTGCCATGTTGGACTAACAGAATAGTTCACTTCGACGCCTTCCAACTCCTTGTCCATCTCGATATCATGACGTGTGACTGGAAACACCAACTGGCATTATCGGCACTACCGGCGAGGCTGTCTGTCTCCCACCAAGGGTGGACAAGTACTCACTACTTTAATCCCAACTGTGTTATTATAGACCAGCGGCTGGAAATTGTCAGTGTCCGGTTTTGTTGTCACTTGACTCCAAGGTTATTTATTTATTCGATTTTGAGATCAAGATAAAATTTCACTTTCATTTTCTGTGCTGGTGTTCCACCATATTTATAGCGTACACAATTTTCACTAGATAATAATTGGACTTCAATTCCCACGATCCATACAATGTGAAGAAAAGGATTTTCTGTCGCATTCAACATAGAAACGAACTCATAAATGGTGACCCTCATAGCAACAGATGAGCAGCTTTAGAAATAGCCTTCAACTAAATTCCCCTTCATGCATAACATTAGCTTCCACTAGTAGGGTCAGAAGAATCGAGGTCAACAATAAAAATCTGCCTCGGTTTATTGACCATACATAAAGGGCATATCCGAAATTATTCAGAGGATCTGCAATTAAGATACCACTCGGGTGCTACAACTGAAAAGAATTTATCTAAATTCAACTTAAATTTCGTCAGAACTACGTCTAAAACAATAAAAAATTTAAAAAACAAAATAATAAGCTGAAACTTGAAGGAGGAATTTACTCTATTACCTGTACTAATTGCTACAAGGAATACATCGGAGAAACCTCAAGGAATTTAAATAAAATATTATATAAGCACAAAAGGAATCTTTTACAAATCAACACCTTAAATGCATTAGTTATTCACCGTAACGAAACTGACCACAATTTTGATTTAAAAAATCCTACTCTCATTGAAAGAGAAATAATTTACTAAGATGAAAATGTTTAGAAAGTGCTTTAACCGCTTGATCACCCATAGTAAATTTCCGTCCAGGTTATTACAATGTTTCAGATTTTCTTTTTATTATATTTCTTTCTATTATCACAATGTGGGGATATTTGGAATGTGGGATTTTTAACAATAAGAGTGATGGAAACATAAACAATAAGAGTGAAACAATCCAAATGAAATCGGATAGATTATATAGCCAAAACAAATATTAAAAAAAAATTAAACTCTCACCGTCTTTCACGGTTCGTGCGCATGTGTAGTCGCATCAATGTATACATAAACTTAGTCCGAAGAAGTTCTATATATAAATATTTTCAGGCCTGCAGACAGAAATAAATATACTCTTTAATAAATAAACAGAGCGTTTACACAATTATGAGTATCCACTAAAAATAAGGTTTAAGTAATAAAAAATCTTTAGAAATATCTATCTATCTATCTATCTATCTATCTATCTATCTATCTATCTATCTCTTTATATATATATATATATAGACATTAAATACACACACATATATATATATATATATATACATATATATATATACATATATATATATATATATACATATATATATATATATATATATATATATATATATATATATATATATATATATATATATATATATATATATATATATATATACATAGACAAATATATATATATATATATATATATATATATATATATATATATATATATATATATACATATATATATATATATATATATATATATATATATCAAATGTAAGATGAACGCAAAGAATATAAATTCAAACGTTCATAACGCTAAATTAAAACAGGTCTCAATACAAAAACTAGACCAATAGTTATTTATTATAAGTTATTAGCAGTATAACCTGTCTTCAACCGGGTCTGGGAATTTTTGCCGTTCGATTGGAACAGTTTAAGTTTAAATCAGCCCATCCGAAAATCAATATTAGTAACAGCAATTGGGTGCAACTGAGGCACATCCCCAAATAGAGTGGGGGTTAGCTATTTGAATGCTGGATATCCCTGAAAAGAGCCGTTTTTGCGTTCTCAATCTTTCTAGGAAGGAACCTCTTCCATGGACCATCATAATAATAATATACAATAATTTTTATTTATTATATAATTTTTTTTTATAATTCTAATAATCTTTTGCGTTAGATTTCAACTCTCTAAATTGATTGTACGCTGTTTTTTTACATTAATTTTTACCTTTGAATTTTGTGAAAAGTGCAAAAAAATCAGTTTTTCGATTTTTCACCTTCAAGGTTGTAATTTTTACCAGACAATTTGGACTCAAAACCGGCACTGAAGAATTATCTATCAAAGAAAATTCCAACGATATCGGATGAAAACTGTCGAAACGCATAAACAATATCACACACACACACACACACACACACACACACACACACACACACACACACACGGAATTACAGATATATAAGATTACAAGGTGGTGTCCATGCGGCCGGATGCAACACAAGGCCGAGTTTATTGTGGAGTATCAGAGCCCGTCTGGGTTCCTCTCTGCCCGGAAGCAGAGAGTTTGACAAGGACACTACCGAAGTAATCCGTGTAGTGATGATATTCACTAACCGCCCCACGCGGTCGTATGTGGTACAAGGCCGAATTTATTGTGGGGCATCCGAGCCCGTACGCGCGGCCAAAAATTCCTCATACACCCCGTAGAAAACGGGATCGGGTAGCTACCTCCCGAGACAAGAATCTGCCCTTCGACATAGCCTCGTCTGGGGATCCTCTCTGCCCGGAGGCAGAGAGTTTAACCAGCACACTTCCGAAGAAATCCGTATAGTGAGATATTCACCTACTGCCCCACGCGGCAGGATGCAGCACAAGGCCGAGTTTATTGTGTGCTATCCGAGCCCGTAGGCTCGGGCAAAGATACCCGGTAGACCCCGTAAAAATGGGGTCGGGTAGCTGTCTACCACCCTAGACAAAACTCTGCCCTTCAGCACAGCCTCGTCTGGGTTCCACTCTACAGAGGCAGAGAGTGCGACAAGCACACCTCAGACGTAACTGAGAGAGTGATGATATTCACCTACCGCCCCACGCGGTCGGATGTGGCACAAGGCCGAGTTTATTGTGGGTTATCCGAGCCCGTAGGCTCGGGCAAAGATTCCCCGTAGACCCCGTAAAAATGGGGTCGGGTAGCTGTCTACCACCCCAGACGAGGTGGTATAGCCTCGTCTGGGTTCCTCTCTGTCCAGAGGCAGAGAGTTCGACAAGCACTCCTCCGAAGTAATTTACGCAAATTACCATATATACATTTCTTTACCGTCGCGTGACCTACTTATTCAAATTGGGTTCGCCTGTGTTTTTTTTCTAGTGATCTGTGTTTAAACTCCAGCAACACTTGATTCCGATATAACAAATACCTATGACAAGTAACGGGTGTACTAAGGACACATTTGTTGCATTCAAAACTGCCCGCAATTGCGGCAAGAGAGTTCTAGAAAATGCAAAGTGTAGCTATGGTCAAGCACTCCAGGCCCCAAGGTTGAAAAAAAAGCAAATTAGATCCTGAGACTTCTGGAAGATCAGAAACCAAATTCTAAATAGAGGCAAATCATCAGTGATTACTATTATAAATGATCCCGAAGCTATACCACTCTTACCAGACAAGGCGAAGCTCTCCGCATTGATCTTTGCCTCGAATTCAACGTTAGATGACAAAGGCCATCCCCTTCCCAACTTCCCACGTCTCACTGAGCCCAATCTCAACAATATTTTCATTACAGCCCGGGAAATCTCAAGACTCATCAAATGTCTTGAGCCTAAGTCTAGATACTGATCCAGACAAAATCTTAGTGGTTGTAAGAATGTTAACCCAGAGTTATCCACGATCTTAGCAAAATTATTGTAGATACATACGTAAAAAAAATTCCATACATTCAGTTAAAAGTAAAAATAAGACCATTTTTGATAATGGCTAAAAGAATTCTCGAAAGCGCGATGACATCCAGAACATTTGGACAATTTTTACATAAATTATTATCTAGAAAAGAAAAAAATTATAAGAACACAAGAAAATTTAAATAAAAACCTTAAGTAGAGTACCTTGTTAGTTGTTTTAATG